TAAGAGGTCTAAACTTACATCAAATGGTATATTTATATGGATTTTTTTTTAAAAGTCCCATCATATCAAAAAAAGCTCAGTGGAGTCCCTTTAATGAGAACAATAGCTTTCCCTATTAATCAAACTAAAAATACTTCATTAGATGTATCACATACCTGTCTGGAATTTGTAAATACAACAGGAACAAGCCACCCTAATACAGACTTCCTTGTGGTCCTGTGATAGAAGCCTGCCAGTGGCAACAGTGCCGGTCAATAGGTTCAGCACGTATACCTCCCGGAGAATCAGACTTAAGGGTTTTAAGTTCCCTTCTTAGTCGCCTATGTCTCCATGAATTCTATTCTATAGGTGGCGTACTATGAAAACATACTACTATTTGATAATCTTGTCCCTTTTCTCCCTAAAATAATCTTATTTTAATCTTCACTCTCGTGAGGCAATAGAACCTACATATGTGAACAGTACAGACCATGATCAGTCATCTGATCATGGTCTGTACTGTTCAGTCAATACTTATTTTGATTTTACATATATATTATAGGCTTTTTTCTAACTGACAGAACTGTTATAAATTTCAAATTTTAAATTGAAAATTCCCATAAAATATGTTGATTTTTCCAAATAAGCTTAACATTTGTCACAAAGAAATTCCATATATGTATGTTTACATTCATCTGAAAAAAGCTGAATGTTTTAAAATATATGGTGTTTTTTTTTCTTTGGTGAAATCATCTTACAACAAAGGTTCAAATTAAAAACAAAGTGACCGACTGTCAGGACAAACAGTTATATCAACCTCAGATGAATTAAAATATTAAATCAGTAAAGTAACAGGAATTCATAAAGAAGAAAAAATGTAGGAAGACAATTGATCTATAATGAGAAATTCTTTTACCTGAAACATCATGCTTTCCAAACATTGTCTACAAAGTGAGATTTCCAACCTTTAAAAGTGCAATATAACAATATATAAGATAAGAAATGAGAAAAGCAGTGTAAAAAGTGCACCCAGTACGTTCCTTTCACTTAGCGCAATTGACTGGAGTGTTGGGTGTAATATATAGTGTACTGTTGTTGATCTGTTCTTGTGATCTAATTTAAGTGATTATGTGTGGAAAAAAATACTCTAAGAAACTACACTCTACACAATGCAGCAGTTCTAGTAAGTAACATGTCCCAAACGATAATAATATCAGATAATTAATTTTTTTACAATCATTTTTTTTAATAAATTTATTTAACGAAATATTGTGTCATTATAAACGTAAGTAAGCGTATTGTGAAAGGCCGTTCAATCTTTTTGTTACAGACTGAGTATATCTAGACGAAGTTCATAACATCTTTTTGTACAGTAAAGATAAGAAATGAGAAAAAAGGTGCACCCAGTGCGTTTCTTTCAGTAAGCCAGGAGAGATTATGGGAGTAGGCATATGGGACGCTCACGTTACAGCATGCGTTTGGTACACGTTGTTGTCCATTTATGAATCGTCCATTTTAAACATCATCCATTTATAGAAAGCCGTCACAAGTAGATGCTGAAAATCATGTAAAAAGCGCCCACGCCGTCTCATGATTAAATGATAATAGTGCATATATAAAGAGATCTTTACTCCACTGTTAGTCAATTCATAATTTCCCATTCCAGCAACATGTATTCCACTACTGTGAAAATTGTCGTCTGCGTCGTGTTGGTCAGTGTGGCAAGTAAGTGATTTTCAGTTATGATACACTTTGTTTCGTTCAGGCCATGTTATTTTGTTAGCGATATCATTTTTGATTATTAATGTTTCAAAAGTAGACTTTAAAACGATTCTTTTATGGTATATTGTACAAGTTTCGGAAAATATATTTAAATATATTTAATATTTTTCTCAGAAAACAAATAAACATAGTGTATGATACAGAATCTTGCATTCGGAGAACCCTGAGAACGACTTTTCCTGTGATGCTTAAAAACAAAGAACTATAAATCTATTTTCAGTCTCCGAAGATTGTCAGGCGACTTCTGACTGTAGTCATGTGACCTGTCCGGAACGTGACTATGTGCTTACATGTGATAATAGAATATGTAGCTGCGTGCAAAGTAATTATTAATTCTGTGTATTTTCATGATTTTATAATCAATGTGACTGTTTTCTCCCACATTTTAAGACAATGATGATTATATTAAACTAAAATCTTAAAAATTTCATCATATTATGATGACATTTTGCAATTGTAAGAAAAAAAAGAAAAAAACGCGATTATTTGCCTTCAATACTTAGTGGGTAGTTTTTTTCTTTATAAAATGTAATGATATTTCTTTAATGAAGGAAAATGATCACGATCATACTTCTTGAACACTTGTATTACCTCAAAACTTAAAGAATGCGATAATATTGCCTCGAGATTGAAGGAAAATGTATTATAGGGATTCTTTGTTTTCCAAACATTTTCTTCAAAGATTGAGAAAATTAAAATTCTATTTCCTCAACTCTTAAGGATAGTGATTACATTCCCTCATAGCTTATATAATAATACGTCATTAATGTTTGTTTTGTCTTTCTTTCAGCCACCCAACATTCTTGTTTGTTACCGACCGACTGCCAGAACTCAGTTCCCGGAAGTAACAATTACTGCGACCGCGACTTCCATTGCGTAGACGGTACATGCAGGTGTGGTCACGGGTTTGGGCCTGCACCAGGAGGTGGTGATCATCACCCAGGTGGCGGTCCAGGACCAGTCGGCAAATAAACCTCTAGACATAATTTGCAATGACGTTATTTATATGCTTGATATTCAAGTTGAATCAATAAAATATCAAATCTAGTATTTGAAATATTTAAAAGCTTTTTTTAGTTATACTATTTTTCATGCCTGAAAGCGGACATGAAAAAATATGTACATAAATTCTAAGGACCACCCTCACAACAACAACAACAACAACAATAACGTGTTAATCAGGTTTTTCTTCTGTCAATCTGAAAATCAATCTAAAATCAGCTCCTTATTAACGCTACGCGTCTGGATCTGACGGGCACCAACAGGTCAACTTTTCGTGACCTTTCAAACAGCCAGTTATGAAAGCAATGCTGCTTCTAATTTTAACCGCTGAAAAAAATCAATACTGATTGTGTCATTTTAACGATTTCGAGAACAATCAAAGCACAGAAGGCGATGAATTTGTTTGGGTCTCAGAATGTCAGAAAGGTGAAGGTTGTGAGATTATAAACCAATTTGTTTTTGTAAAGTGCCACCAATGCTTTCCAGTGTTTTAACTGTAGTAAATTGGCTATAAGACTAATTGCAACACTGATAGTCAATTCAATGTTTATTTGACCTAAAAAAAGAGAAAAAAATGAGTTGCCTCAACTGGGATTTGAACTCCAGACATCTCGATTCATAAACGAGCGTGCAAACCCCTCGGCCACGGTGAAGTTATATTGTAGTGGCCTGAAGAAAACCATATTATTCTAAATTAGGGTTTGTAACTCTTATTATTTTGACGCTAAACCTATTGTTAACACAGGTGTAAATAATCATGGAGCTTACTGTAAGCATGTATATCTATAAAGAATGAAACAAGATTAGAAATCTTCGACCATTCGGGAACTACTTTGCTTGAAAATTTATGCGCCTGTCATTTGACAATCTTTACGCATTGATCTCCCCTGAATTTTTCGGCGTTATGGTACATATAAAGGTGAAGTAACCGCTTCAAAAAGTGGACTACTTTAGGCATTTGCAATTAACAGCATTAGGCTCTGAAATTTCGCTGCCATTATTTGTTTGGTCTGACGACCCAAACAAATAAAAATGGCGGTGTCCATATAGCGGGTATAGGTAAGCTGGCAAAACAATCTTGCTCATTAAAATTGAGTCTATTATTTCCAGTTTATTCATTTAACATTTTTTCTGACTAAAATCAACAATTTGTTTTACTTCCACGTACAGCGATAGTTTGATACTTCGTCTAATATATGTAAAGTAGGGTTTGATTGCATGGCTAAAATAGTTTTCTCGGGAAATCCAAATACAATAAAGACGACACAAGCACGGTGGCAACAGTCAAATCTATATGCAAAAAATAACTTAAGTAGTCCTGAACTTTAGTCATATTGGGCGTTGTCCATAGAATCGGCAGGTAAAGTAGCAAAATATTACAGTCCACCAATGATTTTTTTCTATACCATCAGTCGAGGAATAAACTTTAATCCTGGACCTACTATGGTACTTTTGATCATCAATTACATTACACAGTTCACCAAGATCAAAAAGGGCCTTTGGCAAAATGGATCCGTCTAGCAATTGGTAGCCAAACAAAATCAGAAAATTGATCACGATCTTTGTGTGACTTTGGATCCAAATTCAAAATTGAATTTGACCGAGCTCTTTCTTGATAGTTATTCTGATATTGGAATCCCTAAAATTTTGAATGGACGCTGGGTAAATCCATTTCAAAACTTTAGCTGGTAAAAGTTGATATATGTTCAACAAATTAATGACATCAACAGAAAATTGAAAAAAAAAACAATTACTTTTGGTTTTTAATTTGCAATAATGTGATCAGTTGGTCAAATGGTCAGATTTGTAGTATTTTATTTATTAATGATGAAGTCAAGAGTTATTTACACAAAACATATAAGAATTTTTTTTTTGAAATCATCTAGTGAGTATTTTCACAAATTTCGTATGTTAGCTAGAGCTACTTGAAAAAGCACGAAGAGAAGTGTTCTAACAAGTACAAATTGTAAACAACATTTTATATAAGATTAATATTTTGTCTTGTATGCAAATTTTTACATCTATTTCTATATAACATATGTAGCATGACGAGTTAAACTGTAACATGATACTCTAGGTGCGTACAAATTGTAAACATCATTTTATATGAGATTAACATTTATTTCTTTATAACATATAACGTTTCAACTATACAATATTTAACAGATTTAACATATTTTCCTTCTAAAGTATTTTTTTTATATTATTTGTACTTCAGTTCCAAAAAAAATTCAAACGTGCGAAAAACGGGTTTAGTGACAATTATCCTCTTTACGATTACTCTTCTCAAGTGTCGCCCCAATAGCTGCTCCAGCTGCTCCCACGGCTACCTGACCGGCTAGCCCAATCCCAGCCGCTCCGGCTGATTGAGCTATCGCCAATGCAGACCCTGCCGCAACGCTTCCACCATAAGAGGCCATCATAGAAGCCGCAGCACTTCCGGCAGCTATACCCCCGGCACCAAAGCCGGCAGCCCCTAACGCAATTGGCGCAACTATCGGGCCTGCCACAAAACCCAAGGCTCCGAGACCTACTGTAAGTAGCCAACCTGTAAAAAAAACACCCACACATTAAAAAAAATTCTTACGGTACAAAAATGGCATATTTTTGTCGTGTAAAAGTTGCAGCAAATTTTCTCTAAAATTTGAAGCAAATGAAAGAGACCAATGGGGCTTGTTTAAACCATAACCTTACCCTGCTAAAAATGAAAGTGATAAGCCTTTGCCATATGAACTAACACACCAGTGCAGTCTAACCAGGCTTTATAATGCTTTGTTTTTGTAGACTTTAATTTAGTTCGATTGTTTAGGCAGACAAACTTTTATTACCGATACTGGAAACAACCAGTACAAAAAGCAATTAGTAAAGTTTCTTGGTCACGCAAACAACGGCTTGCCCCCGACCCGACGGGGTGTCAACCAACGCAGATGTCAACGCTTTAGTTTAAAACATGTCTATTTAAATGTTAATCTTATTTAAAAATCGTATCTAAAACAAATATGACAATTATTTCCGTGACCAGGTGTTTAAGATATTTGACTTCAAATCACTGGCTCTCGCTACTGTGGGTTCGTATATCGCAAGGAAGCTATCCATTTGTAATGTCGCTGGCTCTTCACATGTACCCGAGGCCTTCCTCTACCAGTAAATCGGGAAAGTCGCTGTATGACCGTAACAGTTCGATGTGACATAAAATGCATAAAATGCAATAAAAGAAAACAAAAGCCGGTCGGACCGGGTGATGCAACCCGAATAGGTTTTGGACACAGAGAAGTAGTTTCTTCTTTATATCTCTTGCAGTTTCAAAGTTATGTCCCAGACAAAGTGTAAAAACTAAAAAAGGGAAGAAACTCCAAAATTAGGCATGGCACAGTTATGGTTCATATGCATTGCACTCCTACTTAATGATATCTATCAACCTACCAAGATTCTTGTTAATGCATCTTGTGGTTTAAGATACAGGATATACAGTTCGAAGTGTAAAAAATAGTTTCAGAGTTACGTCCCTGACGTAGTTCAAAGTGTGAAAATGAAAAAGGGAAATAGCTCTAAAATTAGGCAAGACAGAGTTACGGTTTTTATGCTCTGCACCTATATACCTACAAAATTTCTTGTTGATACCTCTTGTGGTTCCACAGTTATGTTCCGGACAAAGTCCAAAGTGTAAAAATAAAAAAGGGCAATAATTCCAAAATTAGGCAATGTATAGTTACTGTTTTTATGCACTGCGCTTTTACTGAATAAAATCTATCTACCTAAAAAGTTTCTGGTTGATACCTCTTGTAATTTTAAAGATATGTCCCGGACAAGAAAATGCGGACGGATATACGGACGGGCAGACAAAAAAAGCGACTATACTCTATATGCTCTCTCTTATGAGAGCATGAAAAATATGTTTGAGAAATGAACAATACCTTGGGCTGGCTGGGCAATCATTGAAGCAACCAAAATGTAGATTATTATCTTGTTAGCCATTTCTACGAAATATGAAAATAAACAAGGTGATATAATACTAAATTCTTATTGTCCTTAAAAGGAAAGCCAAAGTACATCCCAATTTTTTGTTAACACCATAAGAAATCCCTACGCAGTGACTTGACAGTCTGGGGATATACGGAAAATAAAACCATGCTCTTTTTGTGCTACTTTCTGTTATGCCGAGGGGTCGGGGTATTGAGCTGACTAGTTCATTTTCACTTTATGTACATGCCTTATTATGATTTTTTAAACGAAACTGACTCTATTTATAGTCGTGTTTATGAGTCATAATTTTGTATTAAAATTTTGTTTCTTCAGCTTTGCGATTATTCAAAGTTTTCGTGTAGTTAACCGTTTAATTAATGGATTTTTATATCCCAGAAATCCTATTATTTTAATTTCTCAAAATCTTTTTATTTTTGGAATTTGTTTATGGCTTTCAACAAGTTACTCGTTTTTAAAGGTTTTCCGAATATAAACTCTTTTGAGACAGTTAATGCGAAAAAAAATATCAGAAATTCTGAGATTTTTACCTTCTCAAAGACTAAACAGCTTTAACAGCTAGTATTTCTACGCAACTAGTAAATTAGTCCATAATAGAAGGTCTGCAATGCTATGATTAATTATGTTGATTGTATTTAGTATTACACAAAATAACAAACCACGAAATGATAATTATTAATAATTATCAATGTTTGAAATACCTATGGATAATGTGCCCATAGTAAACCATTCCACTTTCAATAGTTTATTATAATAGTTTTTATTTCTAACTAACATTTACCTTTTACATGTTGATACTAAACAAGAAAAGTCTAGAAAATATATATTGTCAAAGCACCATAACATTAATTGTGAATAAATTACAAAATCTTATCTATACCTCTTACTTAAGATCCAATGTTGCAAGTGATTTTATTCTTCGTTAACTCGAAGCCTGTATACGAACAAAGAAGTTTATACGACTATACCCCAGCAGAGCTATTCAAAAAGTGTCTTCTTACCTTTATACGTCGGTAAGAAGACACTTTTAAATTATCTGCTACATACCAGGTGGATCAGTCACCGAAGCGAGGCCTGTCTTATACATGAACCTAAGTCACCTAAATCTAAGCTGATCTTACATTCAAACATAGTGTTTCAATTCCTTTTCTTTGTATGAATGGTGGTTTTATATTGTTTTACCAATGTTATTCGATTGAAATGAAAGTTGTCACTTGATAGACATAGAAAATTTATGTATGGGTAACGGTTCGTATTAAGACGACCATATTCTTAGCACTTTTTTGCACTGCGATTTGTTCTTTGTCTATATAAATTACGAAAAAAAACAACATAATATTCACGAGCCTACCGTTGAAAAACCATTCAACCAATTCCGTTGCAAATTAAATTTTGTACAATTATGGAGGGTCTTCTTTACATTTTTAAAGTTTTAAAGCCCTAATCCAAGGAACCTGTCCAGGAGATTTCCGTATGGCTAGGTCATTTTCCGGCGATTTACTCTTTTTGTATATAATTATGTGCATAAATTTTCGAGAAAAAAATCATTATTTTGACCCAAGTAATATGTCCAGGATTTTTCCGCATGGCTTGGTCATTTTTTTTTCACTGCGATTTGTTCTTTCTCTATCTAAATAACGAACAAAAAACATCATAATCATGAGCCCACCGTTCAAAAAACCATTCAACCAATATCGTTGAAAATTCGATTTTATACAACTCTGGAGAGTCTACTTTACATGTTTAAAGTTTTAAAGCCCTAACCCACGTAATATTTCCAGGAGATTTCCGCATGGCTTGGTCAGTTTTTTGCACTTTTTTTTCTTTTTTCTTTCTCTATATAAATTTCGAAAAAAACATCATTTTTACGAGCCTACCGTTCAAAAACCATTCAACCAATTCCGTTGCAAATTCGATTTTGTACAACAATGGAGGGTCTACTTTACATGTTTAAAGTTTTAAAGCCTTAACCCAAGTAATATGTCCAGGAGATTTCCGCATGGCTTGGTCATTTTTTGCATTTCGATTTGTTCTTTCTCTATATAAATTTCCGGAAAAAAACAACATTTTCACGAGCCTTCCGTTCAAAAACCTTTTAATCAATTCCGTTGCAAATTGAATTTTGTACAATTATGGAGGGTCTTCTTTACATGTTTAAAGTTTTAAAGCCCTAATCCAAGGAACCTGTCCAGGAGATTTCCGCATGGCTAGGTCATTTTCCGGCGATTTACTCTTTTTGTATATAAAGTGCATATATTTTCGAGAAAAAAAATCATTATTTTGAGGTAACCGTTCATAGAGTGGTCTTCCAACTTCACACAAATGCAAATCAGTTCTGGTGCGTGTGACAAAAACGCGCTTGAGAGAGCTCGATCCTGAAGGAATTGATCTCATGTACAGGTAGCCAAAACAAAATGAACGCTACGTACTTAAAAAAAAGAAAAAAAAATGTAGTAGATTGTATTAGTTACAGGGTTCTTCTTCACTCCTATATAAGGCTTAAAGGCACAGAGATTTAACTCGATGAAAACAAGTTATTTATATAAAGTCTTAAGAAATTTCATAAAAATTTGCATCATTTTCTCGTGTCAACTGTTGAAAAAACATTCAACCAATATCGTTGAAAATTCGATTTTGTACAACTTTGGAGGGTCTTCTTTGAACATTAAAAGGCCTAAAGCCCTAACCCAAGAAATATCTCCAGGAGATTTCCGCGTGGCTTGGTCATTTGTTTGCACCGCGATCTGTTCTTTCGCTATATAAATTACGGGGAAAAAAACACCATATTCACGAGCCTACCGTTGAAAAACCATTCAACCAATATCGTTGAAAACTCGATTTTGTTCACTTTTGGAGGGTCTGCTTTACATGTTTTAAGTTTTGAAGCCCTGACCCAAGTAACAGATCCAGGCGATTTCCACGTGGCTTGGTCGTTTTTTCTTTGCACTGCGATTTGCTCTTTTTCTATATAAATTACAAAAAAAAAATCATATTCACGAGCCAACCGTTCAAAAAACCATTCAACCAATATGGTTGAAAACTCGATTTTGTACAACTTTGGAGGGTCTACTTTACATGTTTTAAGTATAAAAGCCCTAACCCAAGTAACAGATCCAGGAGATTTCCGCTTGGCTTGGTCATTTTTTTGCACTGCGATTTTTTCTTTTTCTATATAAATTACGAAAAAAAAATCATATTCACGAGCAAACCGTTCAAAAAACCATTCAACCAATATGGTTGAAAATTCGATTTTGTACAACTTTGGAGGGTCAATTTACATGTGTAAAGTTTTAAAGCCCTTACCCAAGTAATATGTAAAAGATTTTCCGCGTGTCTTGGTCAATTTTTTGCACTGCGATTTGTTTTTTCTCTATATAAATAACGAACAAAAAACATCATATTCACGAGCCTACCGTTCAAAAACCATTCAACCAATAATGTTGAAAATTGATTTTTTTTTTACAATTTTGGAGAGTCTACTTTACATGTTTAAAGTTTTAAAGCCCTAACCCACGTAATATGTCCAGGAGATTTCCGCATGGCTTGGTCAGTTTTTTGCACTTTTTGTTCTTTTTTCTTTCTCTATATAAATTTTGGAAAAAAAACATCATTTTTACGAGCCTACCGTTCAAAAACCATTCAACCAATTCCGTTGCAAATTCGATTTTGTACAACTTTGGAGGGTCTACTTTACATGTTTTAAGTTTTAAAGCCTTAACCCAAGTAATATGTCCAGGAGATTTCCGCATGGCTTGGTCATTTTTTGCATTGCGATTTGTTCTTTCTCTATATAAATTTCCGGAAAAACATCATTTTCACGAGCCTACCGTTCAAAAACCATTTAATCAATTCCGTTGCAAATTAAATTTTGTACAATTATGGAGGGTCTTCTTTACATGTTTAAAGTTTTAAAGCCCTAATCCAAGGAACCTGTCCAGGAGATTTCCGCATGGCTAGGTCATTTTCCGGCGAATTACTCTTTTTGTATATAAAGTGCATATATTTTCGAGAAAAAAAAATCATTATTTTGAGGCAACCGTTCATAGAGTGGTCTTCCAACTTCATATAAATGTAAATCAGTTCTGGTGCGTGTGACAAAAACGCGCTTGAGAGAGCTCGATCCTGCAGGAATTGATCTCATGTACAGTCAGCCATTACAAAATAAACGCTACGTACTTAAAAAAAGAAATAAATATGTAGTAGATTGTATTAGATACAGGGTTCTTCTTCACTCCTATATAAGGCTTTAAGGCACAGAGATTTAACTCCATGAACACAAGTTATTTATATAAAGTGTTAAGAAATTTCATAAAAAATCGCATCATTTTCTCGTGTCAACTGTTGAAAAAACATTCAACCAATATCGTTGAAAATTCGATTTTGTACAACTTTGGAGGGTCTTCTTTGAACATTAAAAGGCCTAAAGCCATAACCCAAGAAATATCTCCAGGTTATTTCCGCGTGTCTTGGTCATTTGTTTGCACCGCGATCTGTTATTTCGCTATATAAATTACGAAAAAAACACACCATATTCACGAGCCTACCGTTGAAAAACCATTCAACCAATATCGTTGAAAACTCGATTTTGTACAACTTTGGAGGGTCTACTTTACATGTTTTAAGTATAAAAGCCCTGACCCAAATAACAGATCCAGGAGATTTTCCGCGTGGCTTGTTCATTTTTTGCACTGCGATTTGCTCTTTTTCTATATAAATTACGAAAAAAAAAATCATATTCACGAGCCAACCGTTCAAAAAACCATTCAACCAATATGGTTGAAAATTCGATTTTGTACAACTTTGGAGGGTCAATTTACATGAGTAAAGTTTTAAAGCCCTTACCCAAGTAATATGTAAAAGATTTTTCCGCGTGGCTTGGTCATTTTTTTTGCACTGCGATTTGTTCTTTCTCTTTATAAATAACGAACAAAAAACATCATATTCACGAGCCTACTGTTCAAAAACCATTCAACCAATGTCGTTGAAAATTCGATTTTATAACAACTTTTGAGGGTCTACTTTACATGTTTAAGTTTTAAAGCCCTAACGGGTCCACGTAATATTTCCAGGAGATCTCAGCATGGCTTGGTTAGTTTTTGCACTTTTTGTTCTTTTTTCTTTCTCTATATAAATTTCAGAAAAAACATCATTTTTACGAGCCTACCGTTCAAAAACCATTCAACCAATTTCGTTGCAAATTCGATTTGGTACAACAATGGAGGGTCTACTTTACATGTTTAAAGTTTTAAAGCCTTAACCCAAGTAATATGTCTAGAAGATTTCCGCATGGCTTGGTCATTTTTTGCATTGCGATTTGTTCTTTCTCTAATTCTTTCTCTAAACGTTATTTCAGTAAGTCTATGCAGCAGTGATGAAGTTTTTATTGTGAAGTGTACTAAGCATTGTCAATACATGTAATAGCTTTATCGGGAATGAAGACCAAATATATACGGTGGAAATCAGATCTAAGTGAGAGAACTTCATTTCTACATGTAAAAAATAAGTAGATCTAAACTTTAGTCCGATTGGAGAAGATCTAAACATGTTGATTCGGGCACTGGTCATATGCTGACAATGTCTGTATTTATATAATGAGCTATTTGTTAAACTTGAACCTGTGTCGAAAAGAATGAAAATAACTTGGCTGGTGAACAATAAATCAAATAAAATGAAAAATATTGTTCTATGATTTTTTTTTTCTTCATGAATTATTTATAAGATTTTTTTTTAATTATTACAAA